TACCACTACGACCACTACTACTACTACTACCACCACTACTACTACTACCACTACCACTACCACTACCACTACCACTACCACTACCACTACCACTACCACTACCACTACCACTACGACCACTACTACTACTACTACTACTACTGCTGCTACTACTACTACTACTACTACTACTGCTACTGCTACTTCTCCTATCACATCAACATCGGGATCGTGGCTTTCGCGTTATCGTCAGGGTCGTTACCAGCAGCATGGTCGTCAGTCATGAGCGTCGCCACCAACAACGTCAGCGATACTATCATTGGCACCAGCACCAGCACCAGCACCAGCAGCAGCGGCAGCACCACCACCATCACCATCATCATTGCCACCATCGCCACCATCGCCACCATCACCACATCTCCATGACCCCCTTGACAGGGACCCTTCATCGCCATCACACATCGACCTACTGGTGCTAATTGCCAAACCTTAAGTCCTCGCACGCACAGGTTCAAGGTGGACCAGCAGCTGACACAGCTCCATGCTGCCGGGGCCTTTTCACGGCAGTCTGATCGTGCGCTTCCTTGGTGGTGCTAGCGCTTCTTCTTTTCCGTAGCTTTGAACCTCGACCCCACAAAAACCCTAAACCCGGAAAGTTATGAGAATGCGGAGCCTTTGCGGTTAACACAGGTGGAGCGCCGCCTGAGCGAAGCGAGGAAACACCTTGCTGAGGTGCCTTGTTCTGCGTTTCGGTTGTCGGGCTTGGCTTGGGGTTTTAGGGCTTAGGGTTTAAGGCCTGGGACCCCCTAAACCCTAAATCCTGAACCGGACGCGCAGTTTACGGGCTGTGACAACGCCTCCACCTCGAGCCTAGCAAGAACTGAACCCCAAACCGTCAGACATCCTAGACTCCTGGACCCAAAAGCCCCAACCCAAAAATAAACAATTCAGAACCCGAAGGCCAACGACCCATGACCGCACCGAAGCGGAAGCGGAACCCAACCCCTCAACATCCCAGGTGCAGGGGGCAGAGTCTCCGGCCTCGGTGAAGAGGAGGCTGTCAGTCCGGGAATGGAGGGCAGCAGACTTCAAAGGCGACCAGGTGATGGCAATGATGTTAGTGTGCCAGGAGCCCTCAATCCTGGCCTTCCACCCGATGCCCGAACCAGTTAAACCGCAAACCTTACACCCTGCAACATGTTTGGCCAGGTCTCAGTCGCGTCAAATCGACGAGCTGAGTTTGCAGAGCTTCGAGATCGCGGGGGCGGAGCCTGCGCACGACGAATTCCTGTCGCGGCTTGGGCGCATTTTGGACTTCTTTTTACAGTGTCCTGGGTGCAGGCCCTGCACCCTAAGCCCGAAACCCCAAGCCTTGAACTTGTTCTACCACAGGATGAGCCCATCTCCGGCTAAGGTGCGACGAAGCGTCCTCTGACGAGGGGTGAGAGGCCTTGGGCTCTCAGCAACAGAGGAGTAGAGTCTGGGAGCTTTTAATAATTCAAACACGGATTCCCTTCAGGGACCTAGCTGGGTTAAGGCTTTTAATATAGGGGCCTTAAAACTTGATTAGGGTTTGGGGGTAGATTATAGTAATTAGAGTTTTTTGACAGCGGAGCCCAAAGAAATAGCATCGCTAATTGTTTAGGCATTGCATTAGTCGTGGTACCGGGCTGTTGTGGGGCTCACGCTTTGGACACGAGTCTTCAAGTCACCGGGGTAGAGTTTTGGAGTAGGGCTCGCCTGAAGGATCCCAGGATTTAGTAGTGTGCTACGTATAGCGATGTAAAGGTATGTAGTATTTACGGTATGCGTGTGTGTGTATATATATATATACACATAGAGAGGTAGATGGATGCATAGATAGACGGATAGATAGATAGATAGATGGCAGTCCCGTATGCTAGACGCTGCACCTTAAACCACACCCAAAGGTCAGGCAGCCCTCAACCCCGACCCACTACACCCTAAGCCCTGGACAATCCCGCTCCCGGCAGCGTCTTCGGGGCTTTTGGATTTCAGGGGTGAGGGTTTTGGGTGTTTCGGATTGGAAGGTTGTTCGTCGCTGGAATATCTAGAGTTGAAGGACGGTGCGGCGCCAGACTCCAGGCTTGGAGGGTGGAGGCTTCCGGGAAGGTGTAGCCAGTGTAGCCAGGCTGGCTTTGTGCGCATCGTTCACTTGCCGCTCATGTCATTTGAGAAGTTGCTGCACCAGATCTCCTTCCGTTGGGTTCGGGTTCGCAGATCGCTTTTGTGGGTGTCCTGGAAAACGGTTTCTGGGGTAGGACCCCACAAGAGTCGGGTGCAAGTCGAAGTTGGGCTTCTAGGGCTTACAGCTTGGTCCGGTGTTACTGAGAGCCAGATTGAGCAGAATGGATTTGGTTGCGTAGCTCCGTTTTAAATTTCAAGCGCTTTGACCTGTCGTTGCCGTGCAGCAAAAAGGCAGGTTGGCTGGCACACAGCTTCTGCAGGACTTCGAGAGTCGTTAGCATTGTCTCCGACATTCCGTGAATTACTCCCACAACAGTTCCTTAACAAAGGGACGACGCCCTGTTTCGGCTCATGCAATCGCTGATGTGTGTAGCAAGTGAAACAGCCCTGGTGTTTGACCCAAACTGAACCTCAACTGGAACTTTTGAATCGCCAAGGCAAGTCCCAAACTCCGACGCTTTTGCAGCTACTTACCTTAGCCTGTAGCCCAAAGCCACCCTGGACGCTAAAGCCATCGAAGGCCCGAGGCCCTTCTAGAATGCAGCAGGTACATGCTGAAGCCGTGGCTGTTCGTGAAAGCCGCAAGCATGTGTCCCGGTGTTTCGGCTTCAGGGTTTACCTTTTTGGAGTTAAGGGTGTAGAGTTCTGGGGTTTAGAGTGTAGGTTTCCGAAGCAGCAGCACAGCGTTTTGTTCTAACTGGATCAAGCCTCTGCCGTGCAAAGACATGAAACCCAAGCCATAAACAAGCCCTAATTGCACCCGCAAGCTCGAACTATGCAATGGAGATGTTTGCCACGGGCAGCGTTGTCATTGTGAGGCACGCAAGCCTGGAGGTTTCTGCGTGGAAGTCACCCAAGCCCTCAACACGCAGATCAGCCATGCTTATGGTGCTAGAGGAACAGCAACATCAAAAGGAGGCATTCTGCGAAACCGCTCTGATTCGAAGTTTGCTAGTCTTATCCAATGGGCAAATATCTGTATGTTGAGACTTTCTATTCGTTCCTCCTTCGTGTGCCAACTCGCAGGTCAAATGCGCCGCGTCTCCGCCATTGAGCGTGAGGCCCGCTGGAAGAGGGTCGGAGTCCATTTCTGGTTTTGGGTTTCGGGTATGAAGCCGCGAAGGGGAGCGAGCAAAGGACGGCAGCAAGCGTATTGCAACCTCCACATTTCGGATGTCCGACGAACCAATATCACACAGGGTAAAACAGGGAAGTGCTTCCAGCCCCAACACACTCGCAAAACCCGAAGCCCTCAACCTTCAAGCCCAGTGTGAATAGAAGGAGCATGCTTTCTTCACGTTCTTCGGCTGCCTTGCCTCGCCTTTGCCCCTCCTAACCAGCGACGCAGACATTGCACAAGTTGCCAACAAGGCCATCTGCAGTGAACCAGACTGGCAAAAGTGTCACGCACCACACATTGCGAGGCCTCAAGGAAAAGCTCAAAACTCCAGAACTTAACCCGATACAGTGTCCACAAAGCGTAAACCTTAGACCCTAAGACACCTGAAGCCCGACTGCTGGACCCGCTTATCCCGACATATTGAGCAGCAAAGTTGAGACCCCTTCAGGACAGTGACGGTTGATGGCTTGGGATGTAGGGTTTGTGGATATAGGGCTTAGCTAGGGTCGAAGGTTTCCGAGTTTTGGATTTAAGGTTAAGGGCTTTGGATTCTGAATTTCCAGGTTCCAAAGCTAGATGGCACTTGGGCATGCTTTCAAGACCTAGAGCCAACAGGTCGGCAGCGCAGCCTGTAAATCCTGGAATCTTGCTCTCACCATGGGCTTGTAGCTTCACGGTGTTGTGTCTGACGTTCAGGCTCCAGCGCCCCTGCAAGCTTTCAAATCATGGTCCTGGATTTGTGCCCCGAGTTCTATGTCGGCGGCAAGGAGAACCTGCTGTGGCAACCCGAGGACGATGAACACCAACGGCGATGTTGGTTGGCCCCAAAGCCCGATGTGGCAGCTGCAGACCCGGTCGCAAAGAAGATGCCCAAGGCTGTGCCAGATGGAGTGGCCACGACCGTCGCACCAGCAGCCTTGAGCTCGCGCTATGTTCAGACATCCGCAGGACACGAGCTCTCCAGGACCTGTGCAACCGCTCACAGCATCGCAGGCTTCCGCCGAGTTCCAATTTGCCCATTAGCCCCGAACCCCTGTCCACTGAAACTTGATATTGCCTCAAGCCAGTCCGAAGCATTAAACCTGAAATGCGAGAGCGCCAAAGCTTGTAGCATTCGAGTGTGTGCCTAGTGAACACCAAGAATCATTTGTGCAATCCTCTCTGCAGGCTGTCCTGTCTACACCGGAACAGTCCCAAAGTCAGCGGTGACGTTGGCGCAGCCGCCCGGATTGCTTCTGGACCGGAGTCGCTGCGTGGCAATGCCGCCCGCTGTCCAGCATCCTGCCACGATCATCAAGAGGGTCCACAAGGCAGCACATCGAGTGACGATGCGCATCGTCCAGCCCGCAATCTTTCATATGCCCTACATGCAAGTGCGGTTCACTGTGCAGCCAGTGTGCCCGACGTCTCGAGAGACATCCTTCCTAGGAGGATATCCGATGGCATACTCCTCCGTGTACGTAAGCAATCGAGTGGTTCTTCCGCCACGCGTCGTCGTGCGAGCCTAGTCTTTGCGCTGCTTCATGTCCCATGGCCGAAAGGGGCCTGGACTTGAACGACAGCATGCTCTGGGTCCCCCAGTAGTGCCCTGCTACCCTTTCTTGGGTCGGTCTCCTTGTTAAGACTGAACTGTAGGCAGCCATCTAGGCAGGGTTTTGAGGGATTGCTGGGGAACCATACCACCGCGACTGCAGCCCCTTTTTTCCATGCCGTGCCTATGAGCCGGCTGGAATTGCGCTGGATCATGCTGGCTGGTGCCAGAAAATCGTCTGGTCGGGTTTTTGTTTGGGGGCAGGTCGGGTGCGAGGTTCTCGTCATGAAAGGGGCTTTTGATAAGTTTGGGCTTGTTCTTGTTGGTGGGTGGAGTTGGCCTTCAATGTGGACTACTGGCCCTAGTGTTGATGCTTTGCCAACTGCGAAGCTTGTCCGGCGGGGCATGTCTGCAGTCGAAATCGGGCGACTCTAGGAGCTATATAGGTGGACGATGCTTACATACTGGTATGGGCGGGGGAGTAGGAGGTCCAGCGCTCGTGTCTTTAGTTCTCGGAGATCGGCGAGTGAGATGATATTATGATAGCTGTTTAGCTCCTCTCAGAATGACGTGTCAAAAGTCTCCATCTTCAACCAATGTGACCGTCTATGGTAAGCATGTCGTGCTGGTGATGCCGATGATGCGGCGGACGCTTGTGCTAGGAGTGAAGAAGACACACCAGATCTTGACATGCCGATGGCCATGGTGATTCGGATTGCCAGGGTTGCGATCACGATACTATTTAGCACTAAGTAGAACAGGGCCTGGGGTCTATCACAGCATGAGTACAAAAAAGATTGCAAAGGGGATGCCATGACTAAATATTCAGACTTCTTTGTTATGTGTTCGCGAACCCTGAACCACTGAATACCCACAACAGGTGGCCAGATCTGCGAGGGCGCATGCGCGAGGCCCTCGGACGCCTGTGTCATCATGGCCGCGCTGTAAATTCTTGCTGGCGTTTCGGTTTAGGTTGAGGGGCGACGGGATCTGAGAGCTTTGGAGTTTGCAGGAAGCTCGGTGAGTGATACTACACACGAAGCAGCACCAGCGAGTGTAGCCACTTTCACACCGTCGAAATCTAGCCAGCAGGACACTGTCCAAGCCAAGAGTTCCAGTTCATAAAGCCACTCTAAACCCTAAGCCCTACACCCTAGACCCAAAATTGAATCCGCGATGCCTCGAAGCACCAGCCCAGGGACCGGAGCACGGCCAAAGTGGTGGACCCAGACCAGAGACTCCCCAAGAGTTTGACGCCCAACTCGGGTGGAGTGTGTAGGGTTGCAGGGTGTCGGGCTTAGTTCGGATTCTGTGTGGTGGCATTTTGCACAGCGTAACAACGCTTAGCGCAATGCTGTCAAGATGCAAGTTCCAGCAGAGCCACTGAGATGCGAGGATCAACAGCCAAAGTCATAGCCGCTAGACCGGAAGCTATATACAACCCCTGGCACCGTGCAGCTTGCATCCTGTCTACGCCCAATAGCTCAACCCTCCTATATAATAGCTACATGGGATTCCTTCGATAAGCCTCCTAATCCCTCAGCCCTGAACCCCCCCAACTAATTAGAAGCGTGAATGAGACCGAATCCCCAGCAGCCCTAAGCCCACGTAAGCTCTAAGCCTTCAAGCCCGTCTAGAAGCACCTTCAAGCCCCGAGCCAATGAACCATGAAACCCGTAAGAAGCCCCACGCCCCAGGCCCACAAAGTGAACCCGTCTGGGCACTAAACCCAACCTGAGGATGCCGTCGGACCCGGTAGCCAGGTGCCGAGTCGGATTCCGTTGTCGCGCGCGTTCGCGCTTTTGGTAAGGGAGGGGCTTAGGATTTCAACATGTTGGGCGTTTTGGGGGCAGTTTCGGCATTCTGCTGCAGTCTCGGAAATTGTTGTCCCAGGGTTTGGTGGCTCTGATGTGGACGGTTTCAATGTCTGGAAGTGAAACTGGGCGACTCAACTTCGAACGGGTAGATCGTTGCAAAGTACTGGGAAGACAGGACCCTGCGAGAAGAAGCAGAAGAAGGCACAACCCCCGGCTCCACCCCTAAAAGTATGCAGAGCACTGCAGCCCTGAAAAGCCCTTCAAAAGGTGCGACCGGCGCAGCCGGCGACGAGAGCCCAGATGAACAAGCGTGCCGAGGACGAACCCCGTGCTGTCCCACCAAGGGCCCTGATCCCAAGATTCCAAAACTCGATTTCAACACTATTTTTGGGGCTGGAAAAATACATAGCGACTACAGGTTGTAAAGCTCCCCTGTTGTGTTCAATCCACTTTGGAAGACCCGATGATTCCTGATGTGGTCCGAATTACCGTTTCGTGCTGATACCAGCGGTGGATGCAGTATATTATATAGCACATCCAGGCGCATGGAGTCGTATTCATACACGAGCCGAGACACTGACGGGGGAGTGCAGTATCAGCTACATCAGCAACCGCATCAGCTGCTCTGGCAGCAGTAGACAGCTCAGTTATCTGAGCACATCTTCGTTGCAGCAATACCAGTATTGAGGAGCCGATGGAGCAGAAGTTGTTGGTAAGTACTCCCTGATGGGTACCCCAGACCAGAAGGAGTCCATTGCAACTGCTGCTTTCCTGCTCCTGCCGTCACTGCCACAGCCATGCTGCAACCACTGCTCCTACTGCGCCCACTACTGCGGGGTTCGCTTTGGCCGGGCTGAGTTTTGCGGTGCCAGATCGAGCAAAAGCTCGGGAAGCCCGGCATGCTGTCCTCGTGGATGCTGCTGCCGCCTCAGCGCCACATGGGCGGGGCCGGGGCTCATGGCGCAACATCTGTGATGGTACGTAGGTTGATCTTTAACAATGGGTTTAGATCTATGGAGGTTTGTGGGCTGTCTATCCGTCCTCACTGTCTTCTCTGTCTCTATGTGTCTCTCTACTGATCCATCTACCTAATGTATCAGACGTATGATGCTCAGGAGTCTAGATGTCTCCTCGTACTTGTACTTATTTCCGTATCCTTCAGTTTAGGCTCTAAGCAGGACCTAGGACCTGACACCACCTCAAACCTGAAACCTTCCGCCTAGTCTTCACGTGTCGAGGTTCGTGGGGTCGTTGTGTGGACCCTGTGCGCCATGCTTCACCTTGGCTTGGTATGGACGGTGGCACATGTCCTTGTCCCAGATTTCGACGAGTTTTTTTTTTGGGTGCTTCTCTTCGGTTTGGCTTGGGGTATTTTGTTGATGCTGTGAGGGAGGTTCCACATCCAATATTAGGATGTTCAATGCTCCACTTTCGCCCACTGCTGCATTCTGCAAACCTTGGAGTGCCAGCGACCATGTGACGAGGATAGGTATTGTAAATTGCAGCCATGACCCTACACCGACAAGTTCAAAACTATAAATCCCAAACCCCACATGCTGGTAACACGTGGTGTACTTGGGTCTGCCAGCTCTATGTTGATCTAGCTGATCAAGGAATCTATCTTGATGCTGACCCTGTACTCATGCTCGTCAGTTGGGGGAGTGTTAGTTGGGTTGGGTCTTCCACAGCCTCCCAACTGGCGCAAAGGCTCCGCCCGGTAGGGAATTTTGGCTACATTATGCAGTTGGAAAAGAGGCCGGCCGCAAAAGCACAACAAAAACCCGCACGCTACGCCCTCGGACCGAAGCGCAACACCCTAGCCTAAGCCTACCAAGCACAGAACGCCAAACGCCCCAACACAAGCCCTTGTCCCCTCGGATCTGCTCGGAACATGCTTCGCAAGAGCTACAATGACAATTCTCTGAGTTTCTGGATTTCGGGTTCAATGGTTGGGTTTCCGGAGTTGCACAGGGTTTGGGGTTTGTTCTAGGAGTTGGTGAGGGGAGTTCAGATTTGAAATGGTCTGCCCAACCGCCGTCTTAGCACTTCCCACCCACTGAGTTTACGGTGAGCTTGCACCTCACTGCAAACGCGTCGAGCCTTGTGGTGAGCTCAGCTACCGGAGCCATCATCTTGGAGATTCTGTGAAAGAATCAGGATTTCTGCCTGGCGTTCTTTTGGCTTATGTAGTGCTGTGAACTCCACATAGGTTCAGTCTCTTTGACTTCCTCGCGAGGGACATGGCAGTTACGGTAGTAGTGAGGGGCTTTAGCATGACCGTTGCATGCACTACATAGGGAGGGCATACTCGTTGTCGTGGAGCTGTAGAGAGGTGTTTCACCTGCAAAGCCCTTCATCCAACTGAACGTGCACCCCGACCCCTTGTTCCCCATAATTAAGGAAACGGTCGCACCTGCACCCGCATGCAGACGACAGTGAAGCCTCGAGTGTGTCAGACTCAAAGCATCGGTGCCCTAAACGCAGGCTTGGATGTTGCTTGGTTCCTTACCCGCTTGCTGCTCAGCTGTTTCCGGTCTTTAAGTTCGACTTAACGCCCGTCCTGGAAGATTGCGGCAGCTGTGGTTGGGGTGTACGACGCATGAGGGTTTGCGGAGCTCGGTGTTTCGCACGTAGCTTCAACTTTCAACCCTCGAGGTCTTCAAACGGGTATTCACTGCACGCGTTGCAGGCTCTCGATCGATGAAAACTCCTAAGCCCGAAGCACCCTGAGCCGCTAAAGGCCCTAAACCCTATTGGGCCCCTCATCCCGCAACAACCTAAACTGCCCTGAACAACCCAATCCCCTAAACCCTCAACAGAACTCTCTTCATCCCGAAGCCCCAACCCCCTACACATCCCAAAACCGCCCAAGCCCCTAAACCTCCTTAGCTCGCCAACCTTCGACCCCTTGATCCCTCAACTTGAAACTGAAACCTGCAACCCCGACCCAAAACCCCTTAAAGCAGGCGAAATCATGGCGCAACACGCATGAAACTGCTATTATTCTACATACTTTTGGGGTCCAGATAAGGCCTGAACCCAAAACATTAAACCCTAAACCCTAAACCTTTATACCCTAAACCCTAAACCCTAAACCCTAAACCCTAGACCTTAAACCCTAAGCCCTAAACCCTAAACCTTAAACCCTAAGCCCTAA